GTCTCTCTTTTTTAATGTTAACTACTAAGCTGCTAATTATTATGTCCAATTCAAAGTGCCTAATTCATGGAATATGAATATAGCAGATATGAGATAATTTAGATTGTGATTGTTATTTATATTGGTTTTAAACCTGATAGTAATTTCATTTTGAATTCCATGTTTAGACTGGTTTTCGACTGGATAAGATCAGAGATCTATTTCAAAAAGAAAATTTCAGATAGAAAATAATTAGTTCAATTGTGAATAAGAAAAATATAATCTAATTCTATCCAGAGACCAGAATGATATAAGTATAACCTTGTTGCCATCACACACTGTTAGAGCCATAATTAATAGTTTCACCTCTTAGGATAATCTTTTGTGCCTTGATAAAATCTCACACTAAAAAGACCTAGATCTGTAGCACAAACAGTCAGTCACTTCTCTCCATGCTAGTGGGTTGGTAAGATTTAGGACTTTGATTCGGTTACTTCTTTACCTATTTAGCTTCCCTGATTTATCTTAAAAAACTTTGAAACATAGTTTCATGGAGGTAGGATCTCCTTTTCTCCTTGTTATACATGTTCTTTATTGTTTCAGGAGAGAAAGGCATCGGGAAGAATGGAAAACCTCTTCATTACAAGGGAAGCACATTGCACAGAATTATTCCAAGCTTTATGATCCAAGGAGGTGACTTTACTCATGGTAATGGAATGGGTGGAGAATCAATTTACGGCGAGAAGTTTGCTGATGAGAATTTCAAATTGAAGCATACTGGACCAGGTAACCACTACCGTTCTTAGTGACTGGGAAAGTTACTTGGTAGCTTGATAGGTTGAGTCTCTTTACCTCAACTAATTTTTTAATTATAAACTATTTAAGTTATACTGTAAACAAGAAAAATAATAACTGCACAAGCTTAGCCAGCATTAACATTTTTCCTTGTGCAGGGCTGTTGTCCATGGCAAACGCTGGCAAAGACACAAATGGTTCGCAATTCTTCATTACAACTGTGACAACTAGCTGGTAATTAATGTGATGGCTTCTCATTCTGTTACTCAAATTTGAGTAATCAGGCACTTAATTTAGTTTTGTAAACAGGTTGGATGGCAGACATGTTGTGTTTGGCAAGGTGGTGTCTGGAATGGACGTGGTTTACAAGGTTGAAGCCGAAGGCAGGCAGAGTGGCACACCCAAGAGCAAAGTTGTGATTGCTGACAGCGGCGAGCTTCCACTCTGATGTAATTGTTGGTATTTTCTCTCCCAACACAATAGTGATAAAGGCCTGCATAGCAACTTTGGAGATTAACTTAGTTATGTGCTGAGTGGTTCTTTCACTTTCCGATGGAATTTTCATGTGGTATTTTGAGTTCTCTGCATCACAAGACAACCACTGATATTTTATCCAAGATCTTTTTTAAAAAAAAAAAAAAAAAATCTATGAATTAGAAGTTTTATATCGTAATTGAACAGGGTCATTCCGTTGTAACTGGATCTGTTCAAACTTTGAGCGGGGCTTCATTTTTGAAGTTGTAATATATGAGAATTACAAGATCTTAAACAAAGAATTAAACCATGGAAAATGTCGATTGAATTTCATGGAACTAGAAAATTTAGCCACACGGAATTTATCTCCACCGCCTTCTCAACAAGACAACAGTTACAGCTTAAGATACATACAGCCATCTTTGACGTAGTAGACGTCAGCATGCATCATGGAATTATGTCAAGTTGCTACGATTTTCAGAAATTAGGTTGCCACTAACCAGGAGTTGAACGATCAAAAGGCTTTCCGAGGGCAACTTGTAGAGTAGGATTGTTATAATGCTAATATAATACTAGGATCCCAGTTCCCTCTATGGCAACGTCTAAATGCTCCACAAAGTTAAAAAAAAAAATAAGTGACGTATAACATGGATTTAAAAATAAGTGAATGGAGGCAAGCGATGGAAGTCAGAAATAGAGGAAATCTGCAGCATAGGCAAAATTCATTAGACTCGTGTTTGTGGCAAACTCCAGAGTCTGGGTTTTGGAAGTGTAATGTTTACCGTACAGTTTCCGCACCAGTTTCTGAGCGGGGTATGGTGCAATCACCCGGGACTCCTCCCCAGGAAATGTGTTGGTCGATTTTTTAAGAGTGTCGGACAGCCTTATTTAGCAGAATTGCTTGGCTGCCAGAATATCTAGCCATATATAATCTCTAATATCCGGAGACAAGGAATCTTGAAGGTGGATACTCAGATGGTGAAATATACTTTATTATCCAGATATAAAGATACTTCTGAGTTAGGTTTCATTATAGAAGATTGCAGAGCTTTGTTGGATCTTAAATTTGATGTATCTATCAACTGGGTTAGAAGGTAAGATATCTTAGTAGCTCATCAAATCGTTAGAACTGCTCGTTTCTATCCTTACTTTCACGTATGGGAGAACTTACCTCTCAATATTGCTGTATTGCTTTCTTGAGACGTGATGAAATTAGTTATTATTTTTTTTTTAAATAAAATTTGATTATTTATTACAAAGTGAACCACTACATACAATAAAAAACTAAAAATTCATCTTGTTTAAGGACATACAACAATGAATCAGGTGTCAAAAACATTAGAAAAATAGCTTGATAGGCTCCATGAAACTATTTACTATAAGGTGAACCACTACATACAATAAGAAACTAGAATCCATATTATGTAATGACATGCAACAAAGAATCTAGAATGTGTCAAAAACAACAGAAAATAGTTTGATAGGCTCCATGGAAACTATTTACCATAAGGTGAACCACTACATACAATAAGAAACTAGAATCCATCTTATTTAATGACATACAAAAATGAATCTTAAATGTGTCAAAAACAAAAGAAAATAGCTTGATAGACTCCATGAAAACTATTTACTATAAGGTGAACCACTACATACAATAAGAATCTAGAATCCATGGAAAGAAAAGAGAAGTCGAACCAGATGATCCTTCTTTTAATGTTGGTTCCTTATACCTAACCCCAAACAAATTTGTAAGTAACAAATAACAAAATCATCACTCATCTCCCCTGCAAACCCATGAGCGACATTCATAGTCATCCTCAATCATGATAATCACTTCAAAATTCTCACAAAATTTTTTAGCATCTCCTCACCTCCTCTGCCATCCCCACTCTACCTCACCAGGAACCGCATATGCCATAAGAAGAATTTAACCACAAAATAACTAGTCCATTAGACTGAAACTCTTCAAACTAAGAGAAAAAGGATTAAGAGAAAGCAATAGCAAGATGTCATACTACAATTCTTATAATGACTCGGAACTTAAAAATAAATAAAATTATAAATTGAATGCGAAAGTGGAATAATAGAATTAAGATTTACATTGCTTACACAATAGTTTTAAATATCCAATAGAGATACGAGAAAGTCCATTCTAAAAGAACAAACGAAAATTAAAGAAATAAATAAAAAGTAAACAACTGAGTATCTTAGCACGATTTTCACTAGCTTTTGAAGGAGTCTGGATGGTAAACTATTCACAACCTTCTTCTTGATCTGGATCTGGGTTTTAGTTCTCTCAATCTGAAATACTTAATGAAGGGGTGAACTACATTAATCTAATAAGAATATCACATTACTCACCGATACAGAAATGAAGGTTGGTAAAAATCATAAACAACCAATGGAGCTCTTAAATTAAATAAATTTATTTATCATAAATAAAATCATTTATTGCATACTTACCGTAGCAAGATTTCGAAAACCGTCCTATATAGACAATAACACAAACAATATCATAATTTCATATTCAAGTGGCTAGAATAACAACTTTCCATTTTTATTTGCTTACTGGTATCCCTGAGAATCTATAGGGATGTCCCACTACGCATGAATCCATAACAAAACTAGTCGACTAACTGGTCGTCCCTCTACCATGTCCAATATGAGCGCCAAAAGTATCATCCCTCAATACATCGTCCAATATAAGAGTGAATCGGGTCGTCCCTATACCCCGTTCGGTATGAGCACTAAAAGTACCATCCCCAAATACATCATCCGATATGAGGGTGAATCTGCCCGTCTCCATCCGGTATGAACACCAAAAATATCATTTCTTGATATCTCGTCCGGTATGAGGTAACGCTCACAGTAGGTTTCTCTATGTACCAAGTCCGTGCACCATCTCCCAGGATATCCAATAAGACAACCGTTTCATTAATTCACTTAACCAAACAATTTTCTATTTACATTTAATTTTCAATTTCACAATTTAACTGTAAATCACATAAGACAAATAATACATATATAAAGAAAACACAACTGAATCATCTTACTAATTCTAGTGTATTATTATGCATTTAAAACTGTAAAATCAAATAATCAGTTAAAACAAGACAAACAGTAATAAATAACTGATTCCGCCTCTATTAGTAACATGTAATTAATTATCAAAATTTTTTAAATTACGCAAAATACCATATTATTTATAATTAAGTTTCAATTTCATAACATGGAGTAAGGTGAGAGATTCTTACCTGAATCGATGTCCGAAACATTGAACTTTCTACTGCGCCTATTAGCGGTCCCCGAGTTTTCTGAATTTTTTTGCAGATGTTAAAACACACTTCACATAGCTAAAAATACAACAAAAAACCCAAAATCAGTGTTTAAAACTTTTTTCGGCCAATTTCGGAATTCCGACATGGTGGTACCATTGCTCGCGGTGGCAGTTTGCCTTGGCCTGACCATTTTCGGCCAATTTTGGCGGATTTAGCCCAGTTTTATATTCATCCCTGTGAGAAAACACGTTAAACGACATCGGTTGGCCAAAAAAAAATTGAAAAATAAAAACTTATCGACGGCAAAATTTTTCGATGCAGTGGCTCCGCCGGTTCACATTCGCGGTTGGGTGTTTTTCGTTGGTCAACCTGTAGAAAACAGAAAGGTAAACACAATAGTAAAAAAATCGTACGAAGCGAAAAACGGGAAGGAACTCATCGAAGACGATTTTTGATTTTTTCCGCGGCGGCGGCACCGGGCTTTACCCACGGTTTTCGGCTTGTCCAGTGTTCCTTTTGCTCCAATTTGGGCATGAAGATGTTCAAAATCAAATTATAAGCGAATAAGAGAATTTTAACTTTTTTTGTGATCAGAGATGGCTCCGGCGCTGCAACGGGCGGCAGTCGGCTCCCTTATCCAGCGACTGGTTCTTCTTCTCCGACAGGAGGCTGGCGGCTAGGATTTGGGTTCAATGTGAAGTGAGATATTTACAATCGTCTTTCTTAAATTTGGGCCGTTCATCACGTTTGATATCGACCTCGATCGCGTTTTAAGAGAAAATAAATCTGGACCGTTCATTGCGATTTGATCTCGACCATATGATCGGGTTTAAAGAGTGAATGAATCTGGACCGTTCATTGCATTTAATCGCGACCGTCCGATCACACCTGATGAGGGAACGCATCCTGATCATCCAATCGCGGGCACGCGAATTGCCAGCGTCGCCTCCCGTGTGGCGCCGAGTAAGTATGTCTTGCCACGCAGCGTGCTCCAGTTCGTCGAGGCTGCTGACTGGGCAGTCCTCCATGACACATTTTTTTTAATTGCGTTTTGACCTCCAATTTCTGATTTTTCTTTCAAAATTACTCTACGAACCCAATTTTTCACCAATTTGCCCAAAAATTATTTTCAATTTCATCATCCAACTATTTTTTTCTAATTTTATATTAAATAAAAAATTATAAATTTAAAAATTATATTTATATATATTTTTTTTTAATTTTAAAATTAATCACTGACCAAATTTCAGGCTCGGGTATTACATTTCTCCCCTCTTAAAAAGAAATTTAGTTTCTCAAATTTGTCCATCTCTCATTCAATCAAAAAGTTGGGAATACTGGGCTCAAGTCTGATTCTATCTCCCATGTGGCCTCTCTTTGTGTGTGATTCTGCTATAGGACCTTAACGAAGGAAATCTCTCGGTTGCAAAGTACTCTACTCATTCAGTACATAATACTCACCGGTACCTCCTCATAGGACAGATCCTCCTGGAGTGAAAGGGGCTCGTGGGCCAAAACGTGAGAGAGGTGTAAGTTGTACTTACGTAGCATGGATACATGAAACACATTATGAACTCTAGATAGTTCTGAAGGTAGTGTTAGTCTGTATGCAGCGGTGCCAATTTTGTCTAAGATTTCAAATAACCCAATAAACCGGGGATTTAGTTTCCCCCTCTTGTTCAACATACTGATTCCCTTTAAATGAGTGACCTTAAGGAACACTCGATTACCTTTCTCAAATTCAAAATCCCTCATCCGGGTGTCCGCATAACTCTTCTGCCTGCTCTGAGCCGTCTGGATGTTCTTCCTAATTTTAACTATTTTAGCTGCAGTCTCCTCCACAAGATCTGGACCGAACAATTTTCTATCACCCACCTATTCCCAACAGATCGGTGATCTGCATGGGCGGCCATATAATGCCTCGTACGGAGTCATACCGATACTTGCTTGGTAGCTGTTATTGTAGATGAACTCTATTAGGGATAAATGATCATCCCAATGATTCTCGAAGTCAAGAACACAAGCTTGGAGCATATCCTCCAGTGTGCGGATCATCCTTTCTGATTGTCCATCGGTCTGAATGTGAAATGCAGTACTAAATGACAGTTTCATTCCCATGGCTTGCTGAAAACTAGATCAGAACGGAGAAGTGAACTTGGGGTTCCTGTCGGATACTACTATCACTGACACTCTATGTAACCTGACTATCTCCCGGATATACATTCTTGTTATCTTGTCTAAGGAGTCAGTCATCTTGATGACTAAGAAGTGGAAAGACTTGGTGAGTCGGTCAACAATTATCCAAATGGCATCATGTCCCGAGCATGCCCTAGATAATCTTGTCACGAAATCTATTGTTATATGCTTCCACTTCCACTCCAGAATCAGTAGTGGCTGAAGTAGCTCGTTTGAACGTTAATACTCTGCCTTGACTTGCTGACACACCAGATACTTGAAAACAAAGTCAGCTACCTCTTTTTTCATCCCATTCCACCAAAACCGGGATTGCATACTTTGATACATTTTAGTGCTTTCAGAATGCATGACAAACTTTGAGCTATGAGCCTCATCTCTCATAATGTCCCCTTTCAGTTCACTATCACATAGAACACACACCCTATCCTGAAATCTAAGCAACCCATCGGTAGAGACTCAAAATTCTGTATTTACTCAATATTCTGCATCTTTCTTGAGGGCTACTAGGGTGGAATCGGCGGATTGGGCTTCCTTTATTCTCTTGATCAACTCAAGTTGAATAGTCAGGTGGACCAAACATGTAACTCTCTTTAGATCTTGAAGTTGTATCTGTTGTGCGACCCCTATTACCTTGCATTCTGAAACCATTAGTGAGCTAATATACCTCACTTTTTTAGTTGAGTGCGTTGACTACCACGTTGCCCTTACCCGGATGATAGAAGATGTTGCAATCGTAGTTCTTGAGAAGTTCTATCCATCATCTTTGACGCATGTTGAAATTCTTTTGAGTGAATGTGTTTCAAGCTCCCCATACAAATAATGGCGCCAAGTCTTCAAGGTGTGAATAATCGCAGTAAATTTTAAGTCACAAGTGAGTTAGTTTTTCCCATGACTTTTCAACTGCCCGAACTCATAAACTATGACCTTCCCATACTGCATCAGAACATAACTCAACCCCAGATAGGAGGCATCACTATAAACTGTATATCTACCTATCCCACTCGGCAAGGCTAACACAGGTGCAGTAGTCAACCGCTTATTTAGTTATGAAAAGTTCATTTCACAGTTCTCGTTCAACTCAAACTTGATGTTCTTCTTTGTGAGCCGAGTTAAAGGAGCAACTACACTAGAAAATCTTTCCACAAACGTGCGATAATAACCTACTATCCCCAAAAAAACTATGAATTTCTTGACCGATGTCAATTTCTCCCAATCGAGCATTGCTTCAACTTTTTCGGAGTTCACTAACACTCCATCCTCTGATATAATGTGCCATACGAAAATAGTCTGCTCAAACCAGAACCCACATTTACTCAATTTTGCATACAACTTCTTTTCTCTAAAAATCTGCAAAACCTGAGTCAGATGGTGAGCGTGTTCTTCTCTGCTTTTTGAATAAACTAGGATATCATCGATAAATATAATGACGAATTGATCCAGTAATTGTCTGAAAACTCGGTTCATCAAATCCATGAAGATGGCTGGTGCGTTAGTTAATTCAAACGACATAACTAGGAACTCATAGTGTCCGTACCTGCTTCGGAAAGCCATCTTGGGAATATCTTCTGCCTTGATTTTTACCTGATGGTAACCTGAACGCAGATCTATTTTGGAGAAAACTTGCGCCCCGTGTAACTGATCAAAAAAGTCATTGATCTTGAAGGGAATACTTGTTCTTGATCGTGACCATGTTTAATCCCCTGTAGTCAATACATAACCTTAATGTTCTATCTCTCATTCCTTATAAATGGGACTCCAGCACTTCAAGGAGAAACACGGTGTCGGATGAACCCACTGTCTTGTAATTTCTTGATCTATTTCCTCGACTCTTCCATTTCTACATGATTCCTTCGGTAAGAAAAAACTGAGATAGGTTGTGTGTCAGATTGAAAGTCTATGGTGAACTCAACTTCCTTGTCTACTGGTGATCTGGGAGGTTCATCAGGAAACACATCCGGAAACTCTTGAACTATCGGGATCTCTTGAATACAAATTTTTTTCTTAAGTTGTGATATTGTAGAGAAAACAACAATGTTAAAGCACTATGTACTAAGACATTTGTTAGAGGAGAATAATATTCGAAACTTTTATTACCTTGTAAATGACTCTTTGTTAGGAGGCTTAAATACAATTTTTCTCGTGAAGACAATCAACGGTGGCGTGATATGTCACTAACCAGTTCATTCTTGAAAATACATTAACGTTCCCCGTGTCAATCTCTATAAGGTTCATCATGGGTGAAACCGAGTCCTGTGGAAGAGGGGTCAGATGTTGCTGGGGAGGGACCGGGTGGCCCTGTAATGGTGCCGGATGATACAGTGGGGGCTCCGAATTGTATTATGACGGTGTCAGATTATACGACGGAGGAGCAGGGTTGCATCGAGGTGGCTCAGGATCCTACCGCTGCAAGGGTGGCTCAACTTGTAGCACTGGATGAGGGTCAGGTAGCTCCCTTCTTTTCTCCCGGGCCTGCTGGGCAGCGATGAGTCTCTCCACCATTTCAAAAGTCGGTCAACATCCTCTCGAAGCGAACCCTCCCAGACTGCTCGATTTAGTGGGGGTCTTCCTCTCCTCATCTATCTGTACCTGCATTTTACAAGGACTAGTTGAATAATAATTCATTTTTTGTGTTTCCTAAGATTTTTGGGTAAGAAATGGTTCCAATGAACGCGACTCTGATACCAACTGTAACGACCCGGAACTTAAAAGAAAATAAAATCATAAATTAAATGCGGAAGCGGAATAATAGAGTTAGAGTTTACATTTCTTACACAATAGTTTTAAACACCCAATAGGGTTACGGAAAAGTCTCTTCTACAAAAACAAACGAAAATCAAAGAAATAAACGAAAAGTAAACAACTGAGCATCTTATGACGACCTTCATTAGTTTTTGAAGGAGTCCGGGTGGTGAACTATTCACAACTCTTTTGATCGGGATCTGGATCTTAGTCTTCTTAATCTGAAATAGTTGATGAAGAGGTGAGCTACACTAACCTAATAAGAATATCACACTACTCACCGATACAGAAATGAAAGTTGATAAAAATTATAAAACAACTAATGGAGCTCTTAAATTAAGTAAATTCATTTATCATAAATAAAACTATTTATTGCATATTTACCGTAGTGATATTTCGAAAATCGCCCTATAGAGCTAATAACACAAACAACATCATAATCTCATATTCAAGTGACCAAAACAACAACTTTTCATTTTTATTTGCTTATTGGTATTCCTATGGATTCATAGGGATGTCCCATTACGTGTGAACCCATAACAAAACTGGTCAACTAACTGACCATCCCCATACCCAATCCGGTATGAACACCAAAAGTACCATCCCTCAATACCTCGTATGGTATGAGGGTGAATCGAGTCGTCCCAATACCTCGTCCGGTATGAGCGCCAAAAATACCATTCCTCGATACCCTGTTCGGTATGAGGTAACAATCACGGTAGGGTTCCCTGTGTACCCGGTCCGTCCACCATCTCCAATAATATTTAGTAAGACAACAGTTTCATTAATTCATTTAACCAAACGATTTTCCGTTTACATTTAATTTTCAGTTTCACAATTTAATTGTAAATCACGCAAGACAAACAATACATGCATCAAGGAAATACAACTGAATCATCTTACCAATTCTAGTGTATTATCATGCATTTAAAACTGTAAGATCAAACAATAAGTTAAAACATGACAAACAGTAATAAATACCAGTTCCGACTCCATTAGTAACATATAATTAGTTATCGAAGTTTTTTGAATTAAGTAAAATACCGTATTATTCATAATTAGACTTTAAATCCATAACAGGAAGTAAGGTGAGTGATTCTTACCCGAATCGGTGTTCGAAATACTGAACTTTCTACTGCGCCTACTAGTGCTTTTCGAGTTTCCTGAATTTTAATGCAGAGATTAAAACACGTTTTACGTATCTAAAAATACCCCAAAAAATTCAAAATCGATGTTAAAATCTTTTCTAGTCAATTTTGAAATTCTGACACGACGACACCGTCGCCCGCGGCAACAATTTGCCTCGATCTGACCATTTTTGGCAGGTTTCGACTGGTTTTATATCCATCCCTGCGAAAAAACACGTTAGGGGGCATTGGTTGGCCCAAAAAAATCGAAAAAAAATTTTTCCAATGCGGCGGCTCCACCGACTCACCTTCGCGACTGAGTATTTTTCTTTGGTCAACCTGTAGAAAATAAAACGGTGAACACAATGGTGAGAACATCGTACGAAACGAAAAACAGAAACGAGCTCATCAGAGTTGATTTTTTATTTTTCCCGCGACGGCGGTACCGGACTTTACTCGCGATTTTCGGCTCACCCGCGGTTCCTTTTGCTCCGATTTGACCATGTGGGTATTCAAAATCAAATTCCGAACGAATAGGAGAATTTTTACCTTTTTGACAGTCGGAGTTGTCTCCAGTGCGGCGGCGAGCAACGGTAGACTCCCTTATCTGGTGACTGGTTCTTCTTCTCTGACAGGAGGCTGGCGGCTAAGGTTTGGGTTCGGAGTGAAGTGAGATATTTATATTCGTCTACTTTAAATTTAGACCGTTAATCGCGTTTGATCTCGACCATCCGATCGCGTTAAAAGAAAAAATGACTCTGAACCGTTTATCGCGATTTGATCTTGACCATACGATCGCGTTTAAAGAAAAAATGAATATGAACCATTCATCGTGTTTAACCGCGACTGTCTGATCGCACCTGAAGAGAAAACGGATCCGGACCGTCCACGCGCACAAGAACGCATCTGGATCGTCCGATTGCGGGCACGCGGATTGCCAATGTGAACTCCCGCGTGGCACTGAGTAAGCGTACCTTACCATGCGGCGCACTCCGGTTCGTCAGGACTGCTGACTAGGCGGTCTTACGTGACATTTTTTTTTAATTACGTTTGGACCATCAATTTTCAATTTTTATTTTAAAAATACATCGCAAATCCAAATTTTTACCTATTTTCTCAAAATTATTTTCAATTTCATACTTCACATATTTTTTTCTAATTTTATATTAAATAAAAATTTATAAATTTAAAAATTATATTTTTATATATATATTTTTTTTAATTTTAAAATTAATTTCGGTCAAAATTTTGAATCCCATTATTACAATTCTAATATTAATCTCATCACCTCACCTCATCACCTGATTCTAAGCATCTTATGCAAAGACAGATCAAGTCCACAAAATCACAGTTTGAACAAATATTAATGTAAGCCACAGGTCAATTGATTGGACTTTGTTTGGAAGAACAACGTAATTGATCGGTCAATAAACTAAAATGTAGTTAGAAAAATCGAAAGAGGCAAAAGGAAACCAAAATTAGCACACGGAACATAAATACCTTATTACGTCAAGAAGTCCTCCAGCCGCAGAATTCTATAAGAAACAATAACAACAAATACCAAATGTTAAACCACTGAATAATCGTCGCCACTCCTCCCGACCTAAACTTCGAAACCAGCTACTAAACAGAAACAAACAAACAAACAAACCTGACACGAAACAGAGAAAACAATGACTGGATTGTTTCCTCAACAAAAACTGACGCAGAAACAGATCCTAAAGCCAGCAACCAAATCCTCAATTATTTATTTTTTATTTAATCAACGAGAAAGATGATCGGAATTACTAGAAATGCCACCGAGCGATTAGGAGCCTTGACTCTGAGCTGCAGTCTCGTCCTTAATCCTCCGTTGACGGACAATACTCGAGAAATTCACCGATAAATCGGAGTAAAGAGAGAGTACCTTCGAGATATTGCCGTTAATTTCGCGAATCAAGGCCGGATTCTTGGCCAGGTTTTCGGAGATCAATGACCGGTGATTCTCGTTCACCATCTGAATTAGCTCTCTGTTCTGATCCAGCACGGCTTGCACCTGCTTAAAGCTCTTGCTTAGCAAGCCCCAGACCTCCGTGTCATACTCCTCCTCCTCTTCCTCGTCCTCTGTATCACCTCCTCCATTTTTCTCCTCCTCGTCGCGTCGCTTCTTCTTTCGTCGGTTTCTTCCACTGAGATATTGAGTTTTTGTGGTGCTGTCCTCCTCCATGACAGAGTCCACCGCTGAGGAGTCAAGGCTCCCGCTCATACAACATACATGTGAAAATATCCGTAGACTCTCTCTCTAGGTTTTGTTTTCTCTCTCTATAAAATTTTCCACGAAAGAAGTTTGAGAGCGAAGAAAAAAGAAAGAAAAAAGAAAAAAAAATCTGAAACAACAACGACGATGTATTCGCTAATTGGCATATATATATATATATATGTTGCGGTGACTCAGAAAACGGGCGGGCACCGAGTCAACCGACTCAGAAAAGCGGTTCTCGGGGGTAAGGAGGACGGCTGTGACTCTTAGAGTTGGTGACAGAAGAGTCATGAGCGTGGGAACGAACCGGGTTGGTTGTTTTGAGTGTTTTGATTGGACTGTCAGGGAGGCGGTGGGTGACCGTTTGGTGTGAATTTTTAGCCTGGGTTTGATTTGCTGCGCCTGAGATGCTTGGATATTTTTGGATCCGGGTGGGCCAGGTATAGATAATTTATATTTTTACTTGGGGAATAAAAATATTAAAAATATAAATATCTCCCACCAACCTTGACAAAGACAGCTGTCAGCTTTGGGTTCAGTTTCGTACAACTTTTGATTGAATCCCGTGTCACCACTTACGGCCAGTGATTGCATTAGTATGAGAAATTAAATTAATTAATAAATTGTAAATAAACTAATTTTAAATTTTATAATTTAATATTAAAGGTTTCTTAATAAATTATTTTGTTTACCATTACATTAAACAAACGTGGGTCATATTAATTATATTAATTTCTTTTTACATCCAGATGTCAATAATCAAAAGTTGAAAAAAGTTGGTCTGCAGTATATGGTTTGATAGGAATTGTATTTTTGTTATATATTTTTATTTATTAATTATTTCTATCATTAGTTTTTATATATTATTTAATTTATGAATTTCTATATTATTTTAAAAAATAGATAGAAAATTTTTAATATTATTTTCTGATTCAGTTTGCTTTAAAAAATGAGAAGAATTTTTGTATAATAGATAGAACTTTAGTTTTCTATTTTTTGCCAATTATATTTTTACTCTTTATAGTGTATCTTATAACTTCTTAACAATTTGGCAATATGCGATTTAGTATTGTCATTATACTTAATTATTACTATTATCTTATAATTTTTTATTTCTCCTTATTTTTACTCGAAATCACTTTTAAGTTTTTATTTATTATTGCTTAAGAATTTAAAATGATTAAGACTAACAAAATAATCTAAAATGATAAAAAAGAAAATCAAAAGTATTACATCACTGTCCAAAACTATAAACGTTAAGCTAAATAGATGGGACGTTGGAATGCACTAAAACTTATGACACAATCTTGTAGATATTGAACCGAGAAACAGAAAAAAATAAAAAAATAAAAAAAAATAAAAAAAAAATTCAATCACTTCCATCTTTTGTATGGTCCATTAAACTTGTATTGCATTCATCATTTCCCCTGCTTTTAGTATATTGTACGACTCATTTGCAAGGCTTAAAGAGGTCAAAAAGATATATATATATATATATATAGATATATACATATATTTCTTTAAATGACGGCCGCAAGAACAGAATTACTTCACAAGTTCTCGAAAAAAAACAAATAAGCCATTAAAATGTTTGAGTTAAATATATACATTCTACTATGTATGCATTTGTCATTACTGATAAATTACATTTTCCGTCGGAGGGTACAAGCTATGGCATACCAACGGAACTAACTCAGCTATCATTAGCTTAAAGGCTGTGCTTCTTCTAATCTAAACTGCCACCTACCTAATCTGAAAAGTTTAAAAAAAACTACATGAAAATATCAACATCTGAAATTTGTCCTCATACACTATCTATGTGCTGAGTTGAGTTCCCAGTGAAAGTTACCCAGTGTGCATTTTAATGCGAAACCCGTAAGAAGGTTTATTTTACAACAGCACAATTACTCGGTGTCACTCTCAGAATCTAGAAAACTAAACTCCCTATATCTGTCAACGTTTATTAGTAGTGTTCCTCGGTTCTCTTCACTCCATTTGATACCTTCCTGATCCAAAAGTTTAATCACCTGAATGCAACAAGATGAAAAGATACCATATTATGGAAGCCCGAAAAAAGAAATCCAAATTAACTTTGAACCCATTGGAAGGAGTAGCAAGATCGAGTGCAAAGTGATCCAAATGTCATGAATTATTGCAAGACAGATTTAAAAAGGCAGGTCAATGCCAGGTATGCACAGGAATGAGAAAGATATATGCAAGTCTATTTTTTAACAGAACCAGGATATAACTAAAGCAACAGTCCTGATAAAACTATCCACTGTTATTTACACGGGTCTTTCACATTGCCGAATCCCATTTCTTTTGAGTTTCTCCAGCTAGCGCTAAAAAATGTTGCCTTTTGGATGTTAAGGTTTGAGGTTGGATCCAAAAAATCTGGCCCAGTATGCCTTCACCATAGAAGTTAAAGTTCTAAACTTATTTTTGAGATGTGTCTCAAGTTTTTATACATTAACATACAAGAAGAAATTGATCAGGGTAGAATGAGAAGGATCCATACCGATTGTTTAACTTTTGACCTTCCGAGCCCTTTTGAACCACATCCTGTGATAACCCTCAGGGTTTGAACCGCTGGGCCAAACCAACACAAGCAAATTAAAGGAATGAAACAAGACAAGCTTGCTCAAAATAGAGAAGAAAACAACAAATCCATATACCCAACGCATTTATACACACACCAATTTAAACACACAACAAAAGAAGAGCAGTCAGCCAAGTTCTTACAAGGAACATATGATCCAAGTATAAGGTGCATTTTCAAAATCTTCATTGCTTGTTTGACATGTTGACCATGCAAATCAATTGTTATAACATTTTCTATGCCCCTGTTTCTGCACACAATACTTGTTATACGTTAGTTAATAACATCATAGTTGAAGAAAAACAAAATGGAAAATCTCATTTGGGGTCCAATTAACTAACCTAGCTTTAAATATATTATGGCTCGCCCTCTCATCAGCCTTCCAAGCCAACTTATTCTCTGTCTTCCCCTAAAAAATGGCAAAATATCAAGTCATCATTTCCCATAAGAAGCATCTGAGCCGAATGAAGCCTAAAGCTGAATGCTGATCTGAATAACCCAAAAAACCCCAAAAAAATATGGCCCAACCATCTATATCATACAACCTTTCATGACAGACTTACTCGAGCTGGAAGAATATATCAAAACAGAACAAGTTAATGAAAAAATGGAAACGTCCAAGGGAGAAACTTTCCAAGGAAGGCCAGAGACAATATACATATCTTCTTTAATCTTTTTACTCTAAAAGTTAAGCTGTGAAATGCAAAATATTCATCCACCATTTTGGTTTTTGAACCGGAGATTTGTTTTTAATCAATCTAGAGATAATATTTGTCAACCACTAATGCAAAAACCATATTTGTCCATTCATCTGTAGAAAGCTTCACTGATTTCAAAACAAAAAATTGCACCTTGAAATTACATAGAGAACTAGTTCAAAACGGATTTACAAGGAAAAACACTTATTTCAACACTTTTCCATGAAGAGCAAACCTGGTCAGAAAGGTAAGCTGCATATCCCTGTTCTCCATTTGAATGTGCTCTTGCAGCCTGCAGAAGAATTTGACATTCATGTCATATAAAGGCAACAACAATTGACACTGAAAAGATGAAGTTACCAATACCACACAAGCTGCTAAAAAGTTCTTACCTTTCGATAGTATGACCTCATTGAACCCCAGTGCTGATTTGCAGTCTTTCTAAATGCATGATATTCGTCACCCTTCACTACAATTCCAAATGAATTTGTTAACAACAAAATTGAAGATACAAATGAATGCCTAATGATCATTCAGAAATAGAAAACAGATAGAGCTAAAGGGACTAAAGATATCCAAACCATGCATTAAGAAATTGATGCTAAGTACCATATGTATCCTGTTCAAGTTCTGCAACACTAGAAGTATAAACATCAAAACCAGGTCCCAGTGATTGCATTTTCTTTGCTACATTTCTCCAGTCCATTTTGTCAGGTTCTCGTTCTGTACTTCGAGGTAGGTTAAATAAAGATTCCAACACCTTTAGGGGAAGATTTGACTCTCTACTTCTTGGGCTAGTTGGAGATGGAGCCTCCGAAGTAGTAAGAACCTTCAAATAGTCCCTAACATGTAAAATCGCTAAAGCATTTAAGATTCCTTTTCAAAATTTTACTTCTCAACTTTAAGGAGACTGACACTGTAATTATTCCCTTGTAACATTATGACATGAAAAGGGGACACATAGTAAACATTCTTGGGAATATCACCTCTGACTCCCCCAGGACCAATTTGGCTTATGGAAAAAAAAATTACTAGAAAAAGAGATTAGTGGAGAATCTAGATTGCTAAGAATATGATTATAGAAAATATATAATTATTGTATTTGATTGATAAATGCTTATGAGATTTTATTTCTGAAAAAAAAAATGAATATTTATGAGATCACCTAGAATTTCAATAGTTGTGTTTGGTTTGTCAAAATATAATACTAGAAAATAGAAGATATTTACAGTATATTTTAATCTTGAAGTCTACTTATCCGGCATAATATCAGATAACCACCACAACTGTTGATGGACCAGCTTCTTTCGCACCTCCTAGGGTAAACTCTCTTATATTGACGAAATCTTACTCAGTGATGTTACAAAGCTTCTAGAACCAAACAAAGGAAAAGGAGATTAAGAATCCACATCGCTAGGACTACATTATGAATTTCTTAGAGAAGTTTCCATTACACATAATTTGAATAAACAATCCTCTGGTGAGTTATATTGACCAATACAAATTATCTATGCAGTGTTGTATCCTACAAATAATTGAGATTGTCAGCACGAGGAAATGGGGATTTATACATAGTTATTATCCGAAGGTCAGGTTGCAACTCTAACCAAGACTTGAAATATTATGGTTGATATATAGCCACCGGTTCCCTAGAAGACTGGTTGAAACTGATCTTATTGGCCAAAGACATAATAATACCATGTGTTCCGTAACATTATCCCAATGCATTAAGAATCCAAATAAGTTCTAAAGATAAACATAAACAAGAAAATGTCAGTCAAACGGGTTACCTGTCACCACCATTCATAGACCATTTACTGTCCTGAAGTTTGCTTTCAGAGAAATGGGTCACACAATTTGATGGTCTATCTTCCAACTGATAAAGAAATTATACCCATCACTATATTTAAAGCAAGGCAGATAACCAAAACAACTTACTCTTAAGGAATTTTTTTTCTTAAAAAAGAAGAAGAAAAGAAACAGTCAAAATAAAAAATTTAGAACTCTAATCAGCTGCAGTAGATGTGAACACAACACTGAGAAATGATAAGAAAACATCCCATCCAGTACAATTAACACTGAGTCCTACCCATCAAAATCATCTGAAATTGGAAGTTCCCAGAAGATGTAGAAATTGACAGTCTAGACATGATTCAGCAACCCAACAACCGAAAAAGATCAAGAAAGAAAAAACTAAATTAATACAGACACTCTATGGCCTCTGACATAATATTTAAGATCTAAACGATTTGAATAAGATAATATAATAAGAGAACACATTGAAAAAATTAAAAAACCAATGGCCAGAAGCAGAAATCAGCAGGCTAAAATAGAAAAGGGAAAAAATCTATCTTGAGAAGTTGACAAGCTAAGGGATATAGTGGCCTTAAGGAAGATGTAGAATCACCATTAGATGGGGAAATTATCAACAGGATAATAGGCATTAAATGTCAGTAGAAATTTGGAAAAATGATCCAGAAAAAATCACACAGATTCAAGTTGAAAAAAACAGATGGTATCTCTTACATTGTCTCCATTTTCAGTGTTGAATCTTTTATCTTTTTTATAATTTAAAGAATCACTGAGGCATCTTCCATTCACGGACTGCTCAGAAGAGGTAGCGGACAAGTCAAGCAATACATCCAATGCCTGGAAAATAATAGAGTTTATATTAAATAATATTATCTTAGTGAAAATGGGAAATGATAAATAGACACAGAGAACAAAATGATGAGAGCTAAAAAACCATTCCTTCAAATTATGAATGTGCAACCCTGTGTCGTAGTGCATGTGTATCCTTTGCTCTTTAAATTTTAATACCTAATTAAACACCACTACCATCATTTTGACAGCAAGCTTTTCGAAAATGCACAATGCCATCATCTTGGAGTATAGAAATACAAATCCTAGATGCATGCTTCCAACATCAACAAAATCAAACAATTCTGAGATCACGGCTCATCAAACAAGCTTTTGCCCACAATGCCATCATCTTGGAGTATAGAAATACAAATCCTAGATGCATGCTTCCAACATCAACAAAATCAAACAATTCTGAGATCACGGCTCAACAAACAAGTGAATCATATAAATGTAAGGGAACACCCAACACATCTAAAACTTAATGACACCATGAAAATGATCCAAACATATGTCAAAACTTCTTGATATCTTATTAAAGATAATATTCATCTAACCATGGAAATTGGAAGTTCATATACAACAAAGTTAACTACACGCAGAAATAGTCACACATTAATGACTATCTGTGGACATTGTAATCTTTGCCTGGAAATATCTAGTAATAAGCCATTATGAAAGAAAATTAACGTGAAATAGATGAGGAGTCTTTTGTCTAAAAAGTACCTTGTAAAAGTTGTACCCACATTGACCTGGAAAAAGAAAAACTTTTAAGTCATGCAATAAGCAATGAAGAGTTATCTTTGCACAAACAGCCTTGCACTATTATCAGTAACATCAGATTAATGCTTAAGAAAAAAAAATAAAACAAAATGCATACAAGACATGGTAACTCATCATAAGCCAATGAAATCTACTACAAAAATCTTCCAGCAAAGAAGTTGGGTTTAATGCCATGATCTAGCACCAACTAGAATATAACATCAATTGCAATATAATATCAATTAGAAAGTATTGATACCCGATATATTAGATCTGAAATATCAAAAGACATTGATATAGAGAGATGAAATTTCTGAAACAGTTGGGTTTGATAACATAGCCTATTTGTGTACCCCTATTTTCAGGAATTATTTCAATCTTAAGTCGTAAATCCCTTTTGTTCCCAATAATGTAATCTACTAGTTCTTTATCATGGACTCCTTGACACAATCCAACCAAGAGTGCAACACACAGCTTTTTTTTTTTAATCCAAAAGAAATCACTAAATTTGGACCCCATACTTATCCATAGTAATATCGTTCACTATGAGACTAGAGAAACCTCTACCTATCTTTCAAATACCAAATATCCTTAGAAGCCTTTTTCCTCCTAAATGCAATTAGTAATCATAAAACTTGATGCAAAAAATTATTTCAAAAAAAAAAAAACTCGGTGCAAAAAATAGAATGACCTGAACAAGTGACATGCTGAATTTGCTTCACAAGACAAGAAGAATACTTAGTTCAGATTCCAATATACCATTTAAAAGAAAGACCAGCCAGAAGCAGAGAACTCAATCAACTCTTTATTCACTCTAACAGTGAAAATACATATTAGCTCTTCACCAGCCAGTTATCAACCAATCAAACTCAGTGGTCTACTTATTTTCCCTCGTAATATGGCAGCAAAATACACTTACGGCAATTCAATTCTCCATATTGCCAATATTTGTACACCTTACACAAGTTGGATCTTCTTCCTAAGTAAGCATTATGCATGACGAAACTTCGACGCTCAACTATTTCACATGTCGGCCATGTTATCCACCAACAAGTTCGTCCTCACCTCAAGCATGTCTCGCTCAATTCTCATAGAATCAGACTAATTTCTCGTCATAATTGAAAACAAGAAAGCTCAAGCATTCACAATATTCAAGAAACTTGGAAGTTCAAAACACCCCCGAAATTTTACAATCACAACAAAATTGAGAAAAATCAAACGGGAAAAAAACCAAAGGAGAAGACACTGACAGAGAACATCTTTGACAACGGCCATGCTAAGCTCGCAATCGTCGCCCAGCATTGAGTACAAAAGCTGCTCCGTCCCCTCTCTGTCCAAAATCTCTTCTCCATTACCATCAAGACCCTTAAATTTTGCTGGCGAATACTGCTTTCTAGGTCCGGACCTTACATACTCCTTCCCCAACATGGTTGACACCATTCCCGTGGTCGCTACCACTCTCTTTTGCTGGTTCCTTCTGAAGCCTCTCCCAGGCACTGCGTTTTCTATGCATCCCGTCTCCATAAACCCCTCGCTCGAGATCGATCCCGGTCCGGAACCAGAGCTGGATCGCGAATCCGGCCCGGAAAACCCGCTCGAAACCGAATCCTCCCCGTTCTCCACCAAATTGAATAAAATCTCCGCGGCTTTTTCCGGATCGCCGTTAGCTTCCCGGCAAGCAGCAGTTGCTTCCTCCAGAGAAGCCGAAGCAAACGCCTCAATTAACGAACAATTCACATTGTCTTCCCTTATTTCCAGCCCCTCTCGCCCCTTAATCCCTTCTTCCTCATTTTTCCCGCCATGCAGCGTCCCGTTCAGGGCCAGCTGATTCGAAGCTCGTGACCGCCTCTTCTTCTTCTTCTTCTGGTGGTTCGCGCGCGTCATGTGACACACTGATCGATCGATTGATTGACTGACTGATTGATCGATGACGGGGCCTACCGCTATTCAACGGAGACCAAGAATTCTGTTGGGTTTTGGGAAAGGGAAACCCTAGATTTTAGATAGGGAAGATTCAAACGAGACAAGAATCGAGAGAAGATCTGGAATTTCGGAGATGAAAAATTGCAGAATGTACTGAAAATAACCAGTGGAGGAGGAAGACGAAGGTTTACCATTTATATTGGACTCTCAGAAGAAATTATAGTTCTTGTAGGAATCGAGATCCCATCGTCTTTATGGCAATTTGCCAACTGCACGGTTGGACGGCTGGATTCGGATAACGACCGGGGGTAGGTGGACGGATCCACCGTTCACGCGCTTAGATAGGAAAGTAGCAGCCATGCTTTAAAAAATTATAATTAATATTTTTATTTTTTATTTAAAAAAAATATGAAGGTTAAATCAAATTGTAATCCGGCATGTGCGTTTATTAAAAGGTTAATTATTTTGTTTATTATGAGATTTATTACGTAATTATTAATTTTAAATATGATCTAACTATTTATTAAACTACATAAATTCATAATCAAATAGAATTTGAAAAAGTGATAAAGAAACTTCTTTAATTTATTTTAAAATAATTTAATTATGAATTAAAAAAAACTCTCTTTAAAATATGAAATTTTAATAATAAAATTATTTAATATAATTAAAATATTAAATTCCGACTCTTATCATCTACTTTTTACGAATCTTGTTTATATGTATTAATTCTCTTGATTGATAAAATATTATTTGCGTTGACCAAAAAAAAAAAAAAGAAGGTAATATTGACTTACTTCACAATCACAAATATTATAAAAATTGTGTGGAGTGATTTTGCGTTCCTTATACTTGAAGGGTGAGGTACTATAGCATGTATAACTCCGTGTGTGTATACATATATATATATATATATATATGTATGTACTATATGTCATTTATATTTCTATATATTATTTTGGTATAATTCTTTTTTTTATCAACTTTTCATATCCTTTAGGGAAGATTCTTTTGACGTCAATTTTAGTAAGACTCTTAAAATTATTTATTAAAATTAAACTGAATATTATATCTATCAAACTGAATAATATTTGACAATTAAAAAAATACCCTTACAATTATGTTGAAGATAATTGTATTTCTTAAAAGAATAATTTTCTAATATAACATAATGTATATGCTGAAAATTTGAAACAACAAAAAAAAAAAAAAAAAAAACTCCAATGATATTCATGAAAACTCTTTTTTATTTAATTATGAAAAAGTAGTGTTTATATTTTTTTCTGGCCCAGACTCACCATGCACAAATATCAAACATGATCAAGGAAATAGACGACGGAGATGTTGGATACGTGGGAATGAAAATCTCCACAACTTTACGCACGCAATTGATCCCACAAAAATGTCAACCAGAAACCACTTTTAATACCTAATGTTCATTTGGGTACACCAATCAATTTGGTTACTAAACACTTGTCGATACGTGGGAATGAAGATCTCTGCAATATGTTAAAACTTTGATCTGTTGTTTCCAAGTGCAAGAAAAATACCACGCGTGGTAGCAGCATAAAGACATTCCGCCTGCACTGATTTCTCATATTATTTACTGACCAAACAACGCAAAAGTGATTGATTCCATTAAACCCATAAATAACATTGTCAATTTCTGACATACCCACGTTACTTAAACCTATCTCCCACAAATCTCTCCACACGACTACTCTTCCCGTTTTCGATTTGTCACTATAACCTATCTATTCGGAGACAACTCCGAAGGTGCTCATATTAGTTCGTTATATCTGTAAGCTGCTGCCCTGCAAATCAATAATCAGCAGGCTTCTTCTGGCTTCTATCTTTTTGCTTGTATACAAGAGAAGGGAGAGGTAACTATGATTAGCAGGCTTCTCAGGCTTCTTGAATCTGCCTATGATTTCCTATTCTGGGGCTGTAACTTATTTATTACATAAAGAACAAAATGAAAAGAGAGGAAGACTGCGTTACAATTCTAAACGTGTTACTGTTTGCCATCAACTGTGCGGATTGGTTCCTCATAAACTGGGTTGATTAAGCGTTTTGGCTGCCCAATGAACTGTGGAAGTGTACCCTGCTCTACTGCTTTCGAAGATGGTGGTGTATCCCACTGGCAATCTTGGTCGGAGCATGAGGATTTTAGCTTTGCTGCACCAAGAGAAGTGTGGAACTGTTCATGACCTACTAACTCCTTAAGCTTTAACTCATCATATCTTCTTTCTCCAAAGCATATGCATTGTGCCTTCCTTCTCTGCACCTCATCCTTAATCATCTGCTACACGATTTTTTTTAAGGAAAAAAGAAAAAGAGCAAGAGGTAAGTACAGAGCCACTCTCCAAAAGAAACATTAACAAGCAACCATAAATTAATTCAAGTGATGCACATGAACTTGAGCACGACAAAAGGGAGAAAAATCAAGTAAAACGGATCTGGGTTAAAATTGCAGATGTAACTGTATCTTTGCTTAGTAGCAATGTCTATGTTTCTTTTTGTTTTTTGGAAAATAAAAGACAGGTGCTTCTTTCCCATTTGCAAATCAAAATATCTAAATCGAACCTCTTTAATTTAAAGAACATCCTAAAGTTTCATTTGTATGATACTTAAAGAATCTGTAACTCATCTTAAAAACATTACAGCGTCAGTAGAAGATGATGATCAAGAAACCAATAACTTATCCAACACATATCAAGATTTAGTTCCACGAGTCCTCCAAATAATATTTTAGTTCGTATGAAGCCCTTTTTTTCTCAGATAAAAACCTCTTGTTGGCGTCTAAGAAGCAAGTGGTACAAAATCAAGCCGCAAATAATCACAAATATTAAGCTTTCTTTTCCTAAAAAAACAAAAATATAGTACCATATCTGATGCAAATATGGCTTTATTGTAAAACACTGCACTGCCATAAAGATAGCTACCCAGGATTTTCTTTTCTTTACCATCACTATTTCTATTCTTAACAATCCTCATGTATAGTGGCTACACCTCACCCCATATTCTTAACAAAAATTTAGTTGTTCAAGCACCATCAAATCCTATCCTCTCTGGTTCTGTCCACTCCCCCACCCCATACTCATCGTAGATGTCATGAACATAACCTAAAAAGATTTTTAAAACATTTTCTTTCTAAACTATGTTTTCCCATTAATCCCTCTAAACTACGCTAAATGGCTGAAGTGCTTAAAAGCTCTAAGAGTGAGTTTGGTATAAAATTCAATTTCATGAAATAGGAAGAAGACTACAATTTTGAATGAAGATAATGAGAATAACATCTTAGTTCCATCAATTCTATGCCTAATCCAAGTTAGATGTTCTACAGGAGAAAATACAAATAGATGCTTGACGAATTGAGTATGCGCCACAGCTAAAACGAAAATTGCCATTTCCAGAAACAAACCTGAAAAAATTTGAAATCAAACTTGGGCAGTCCAATCTGTTCAACAGTAAGCGAACCAAAGAGATTCCCCAACAATGCAGCGTCGGGCACGGCTAAACCCTGCACCAGACCCGCCACAAACCCGCCGAGAAAACTATCTCCAGCACCCGTTGGATCCACTTGGTTGGCCTCGAATGGCGCAATCTGCAATTCCCCGTCCTTGGAAAACAACTTGCATCCTTCCTTCCCGTTCGTCACCACAACACAACACAGCCTCCTTACCTCCTCAACATTCAGGAACAGAGCCTCGTCGGAGGACGCTTTCAAGAATCCAATTCGCGGCAAGAGATGATAGAACCCGCTTTCCTTCAACCCGAGAAGCTTCACTGTACCGTCATCTTCATCAAAAACTCGAATCAGAGCCTGAATATCAACAAACACCACATCGCAAATCTCAACCATTCTCTCAAGCGTCTCGGGTAGAATCTCACCGCCCACGCCGACGGCCATCCCGAAATCGAACCTCCCCTCCGGAAGATCCACAGGCGCAATCGGGTCGCACGCGCAGACTCGTTTAAGGACCCGATCTTGGTGCCCATTTCCGACCAAACCCAGATCGAAATACGCCTCGAAAACCGTCGTTCTTGAAGTGGGTATCACGATTGGGACATTATTAACCGCGTACTTGAAATCCTTCCCGACTTTCGAGGTTAAACTGGACGAAACAGAGAGACCATTGAGCACGTTGGCGATAAAAGCGACGGCACCGCCGAGTGTTTCGGCCACGGCGGAGCCGTCCTGTATCAGAACATCGTGGCAATAGTTTCCCACAATCAAAACCCGGTTAATCGGGCTATGCTGCGGCGGTGAATTTCTTACGGAAGTAACCACCATGGAACCTTTTGGGAAGAACGCTAACAGGAAAGAAATTTGGAGTGGCGGGTCTTGATATCATTGACTATGGAAAAAACGAAGTTTAAGGATTGGAAAGATTCATCGAAAGAAAAAGGGGGAGAGAAGAGAGAGACGTGGTAAAAGCGACAAAATTTGTATGGGTTTCGTGTTTTTGCGAGAGAGTAAGAAGGTGTCCAGATGGAGAGCGCGCGCCAGAGAGAGATTTGTTGTGTGTGAATCGTTGCTGGCACTTTGAATTGCGAACCCTGAGAAGGGGATGGATTGCTGCCATCAAATCTCAATATCCCTTCCCCTTTCGTAATTTTGTTTTTTTTCAGTTTTCAGAAAACTAAATAGCAAGATAATATATAAATAATAATAATAATAATTATTATTATTATTATCACGAACTTTTGAACTTTTTTCTTTTAGAATAATTATAGTTTGATTTTTCAAATTGTGTTTTGTTGAAAAAATTCTCATATTTTTTTAACAAAATCTATTACAGCTTAAATTTAATTATAATATAATATATTACTCAATAATAAATAAATAATATATTAATTTGTTGATCATAAATTAAATTAAACAATTACTAAAGTAATTACTTTTTTTTTATATTTTAAAATCAACCAAAGACTTCAAAAAAAAAAAACTCAATTCTATCTAATTATATTCTTCAGAAGTCGTCAAAGTTGAATATATTCCATGATGATAGATTTAAACAAAGTCAAAAATATTTAAAGCTAAGGAAATATGATACCTATCACATGAACACCTCAACAAATGGATGGTATTAAAGATACCATCTTTAAAATAGAACTTTAATTTGATGTATAGAATTTTTTTTTTTTTTTAAATTTCGATTAGTTGGACCCAATTTTTTGATTCATTGCACGATTTACAATTTTTTTAAAAAGCATATAGTAATTTATTTTTTATTGAATTATTAATTAATACATTTAAAATCCCAAATTAATTTAACAATACTAATATTTAATTCTGAATTCACATCAAGAACAGACCCAAAAAAAATTGCTTTCTTTGTCCAAGCATGGTCCAGGGACGAAATAAATGTCCACCCATAAATTTATCAACTGGGCTCGAGTGACCACGCCTTGGGGATGTTACGACCCAGTCCATTTAACTCATTTCTTTGTACAACGTAAATTCCAATTACAATTAAAAGTTCACAAATATTATATATATATATATATATATATATACAATGATACTTATATCATTGGTATTATTTGGTCACCGCTCATATTAATATGAGTTAGAGATTTTGTGTGCATGTTTCTAATTATTATTGCTTTAAAGATACCACAACATCTATGTTTTTGTTTTTGTTTTTATAATATAGTTTTTAAAAATATGATATGTTTGAATGATATACGATCAAATTTGAATAATAATAAGTAATATAAACAATCATCCATCTGGGTTACATGATAAATACGTATATAATACTAATAATAAAAGTTGACAGAAAAAAATATTAGTGAAATACTATTTTAAAAATATAAAATCTATTTATGTATAATTTTAATATTTCGAAATTTGTTGTGCTAAGTTATTAATTAATGTACTGTTCTCATTTATAAATTATTTGTATTATTTTATAATCAGTGTATACATATTGTCTAATTAATAAATATATTTATTTTTTATTGAAAAAAACATACCACAGAAATAAAGGTGGCGACTAGGGAAAGAGATTGATATATCGATATATTTGTTCTTAATGTACAATATATATATATATATATATATATCATGACCCAACGTGCGTATTTGTGTCTATAACACAAACATATATATATATATATATATATAGCCAGGCACAAAATAGAAACAAACTAAGAAAATTCGAGGAAGCTACTTGCCACTGATGCAATCGCCTTATCTTCTTTCAAGAACAAATTAAACCATATAACTGGGAAGGTATACCGATCACACATATAGTGTTAATTGTTTTTCTTTTTATAACATAAAGTTATAATTATTATCTATAATCTAAAGCTATTTCCTATTTGGATTTTTATTTTTTTAATTTTTTTCCGATGATAACGTAGATATGTACATGTATCGTTTTCTTGGATAATAATACTTAAAAAAAAAAAAATTTGTCATTCTTAACAAAAATATAAAAATTTATACTTCAAAAAAAATATATAAAATAAAATAATTCTCGTTATTAAAAATTACATAATATTTATCATAATAATTTTATATTTTTATGAAAAAATATGTATATTATTTTCTATATATATTAACTTTACACGTACGTGGATCATGTGATTTAATTTAATTAATTGCTTTTAAATTTAAAGTAAAATGTGAGAAGTTTGTAAATATAATATATACAGTAATATTTATTATAATTTGAAGTAATTTTTATATCTTTATGAAAAAATATATATATTATTTTCAATACATATTAACTTTATAGGTATGTGAATTATGTGATTTAATATAGTTAATTGCTTTTAAATTTAAAGTAATATTTGTCTGATGTACCATATCTAACAAATATGATATCAGTTAGGGTTTCGTAAACTTCTATTTATTTTTATCCTAAACTTAAGAGAAAGAAAAACAAGTAATTGAATAGGGTCGGACGGAAAATTTAATGGAGTACTCATATTGGCAAGTACGAGGAAATTTCGACTAATTTTCATTAGTATACTCCAATATAAAATCAACTAAATAACAATTTATAATTTTCAGATGAATCTTTCATCACCCATTTAATCGAATTAGAAATATATATATATATATATGTTGAATAAATTGACAGCCATTAGATTATATTAAGGGAAACTATGAAAATACTAAGAAAGTTCTGAATTTGAGAGTACGACGTCGTATTGCGTGACGTGCATGTTAAAGCATGAGATGTCCGCTTTCTTAATTTTGGCAGGCAATACCGACAGGAGTAAAGGTGTGACATAAGGAAAGACGTATTTCATTATTATTTGTCAAGTGTAATTAACAGAGTGATATATCGATATACTTGTCCTCAATATATATATATATAAGTTTTTGGCCCAAAAATCAACCTCACTAATACATGTACTATATAACCCCAGATGATTCAAGTATAGTTTTAATTTGCAAAATCGTATCTGGGTTTGACTGATGGGAATAATTCAACCTCCATTTTCCAATGATAAAATCAATGAAAATGAATTTTTTAATTTTTTGTCTGCGTACATGATATAAACATATATGTATGCATACACGCAAATATTGATATATAAAAGCTTTACGATATTAATGTTGAGCACGCATATATAACAGTTCATTTACGTTTTCTTTCTCTTTTGTTGCCACCTTTCATAACCCAAAAGCTTGCAGACACCTAAACACTTCATGGCTACAAGTGTAAAGCCATTCACATAATAGAAACAAACTACGAAAATTCGAGGAAGCTGCATGGCCACAAAAATTTACTTCACTCAATTACCTCATCTCCTTTCAAGAACGAACCTCGTGCAAAACCCGTAAATATACATGTGTATATATACATAGATACGTATATATATATATATAAGCACAGCCTATAGAGAGTAGTTAGTACCCCCAAACTCCACCTTCAAGAGATCAGTTAAACAGAAAAGTATGAACTACCAGGAGTTTACAGACGTTGAAAATGGAGAAGATGAGTCAAAGAACAAGAGTTTGGGGAAGGAAACAACGTCGTGGAATGGAATTAGAACGGCGCAGAACATGTCGTCTTCAATGGTGAGGAAGAAGTCGGAACCGATGCTGGTTTCAAACGTTAGGTTTCAGATACTCAGACAGTTTCTTGCGAATCTGAAAGAAGTAATTCTGGGCACCAAGCTTGCTGTTCTCTTCCCTGCTGTACCTTTAGCTATTGTCGCCGATGTTTACAAGTTTGGAAGGGTAAGTTTAATTGAGTCTAATCCTAGCTATAATTAGCTAGGGTTCTTCATCGTCATCAACCTTTTTTTTCTATTTCTTTTCAAAAATGGAGTAAACAATTAGAGGATTAAAAAAAAAAAAAGACATGATGGATCCTTCGCACCCTTCATAAAAAATTAGTTGTTTAAGTCATTTTACACGTTTTTGTATATATTCGTTAAAAAAAAATTATGTTATAATTGATATAGAGGAGCATTATATTTATATTTATGTTTGAATCATTTTTATTTTCTTGGAAATTTTTGATTTTGTATTGATGTTTAATTATAGTAATGAATGATAAAAGTATTTTGGTATTTGTACATGCAGCCTTGGATATTTGCCTTGAGCTTAATTGGGCTCACTCCACTAGCTGAAAGAGTCAGCTTCTTGACCGAGTAAGTTTACAGAAATACAGAAAGAAAAAACTACATATACATATATGTATATATAGCTATGTGTATAATATTTTTCTAACATTTTCATTTTTTCTTAAAACTTGTGACAGACAAATTGCATATTATACAGGTCCAACAGGTATATATACCTATAAAATCTGGACAACATTTAATATATATATATATATATATTTTTTTTTTTCTATATTTTGAGAATTAAATTAGGGTTTAAAAATTGCAGTTGGAGGACTTTTAAATGCAACATGTGGGAATGCAACAGAGCTGATAATATCATTATTTGCTCTATACCAAAACAAAATATATGTTCTTAAATACTCCCTCTTGGGTTCCATTATTTCCAATCTCCTTCTTGTTCTTGGCACTTCTCTTCTCTGCGGAGGCTTAGCCAACCTCAAAAAGCAACAAACATACGACAGAGTACGATGGAATTTCAATTTAATTATTTAACAAAACACGATTCATAAATACCTTCTTAAATTTAATGAATTAAATTTTGGATGTACAGAAACAGGCAGACGTGAACTCGTTGCTGCTATTGCTGGGATTGTTATGCCATATGCTGCCATTGATGTTTAAATATGCAGTTGGAGGAGGAGAAAGTAGTTTTAGTGCTGAGTCTAGACTCAACCTGTCAAGAGCCAGCAGCATTGTTATGCTTCTCGCGTATCTTGCTTATATATTTTTCCAGCTTAAAACTCACAGACAATTCTTTGAATCTCAACAGGTTATATATTTATTATATCTATATACAAATATCAAAATTTTAATTCATTACACATTAACGTAAAAACCCAATAATTTTTTAATTAGTTCCTCTAATTAAGTTGAGAATGAAATTAATACTTGTATATTGTCATATATAAATTTGGTATATACGAGCAGGAAGATGAAGATGAAGAGAAGCCAGTAATTGGATTTTGGAGTGCATTTACCTGGTTGGTTGGCATGACAGTCATCATAGCTATGTTATCCGAGTATGTTGTCGGCACGATTGAGGTATACATATGTATGTATATATATAATAAGATTTAATAATTAATTAATTATATCTAATTATAAGCCACATTTGCAATTTTACTTGTATTATATATATATATATATATATATGAATGATTATGATCATGATCAATTAATTTATTAATTGTATTTCAATGACTAGGCTGCATCGGAATCATGGGGTATTTCTGTAAGCTTCATCAGCATTATATTGCTGCCAATTGTGGGCAATGCTGCAGAACATGCTGGATCCATCATTTTTGCTTTCAAGAACAAGCTGGTATTTACATACATACATATATATATATATGTGTATTTCAATCTAAAAAGTTGAATTAATTAATTAATTATCAACTATTAATGTTTTTAATCATGTAATTAAATTATTAATATAAATATATATATATAATATAATATAACAATTTGGTGTATGATACTACTAATTTGCAGGACATTTCTCTGGGCGTTGCTTTAGGTTCTGGAACTCAAATCTCAATGTTTGTGGTAAGACTCATTGACAATTAATAACAAATATAATTTTTTTTTTAACCAAAAAAATGAAAAATGAAAAGTAGAAGAGTAATTAGCTTGTTATTTAAATTAAATTTGTATAATTGGCTAATTAATCCCAATTAATAATTAATCATTTTTGTTTTTAAAGGTTCCTTTATGTGTGATTGTTGCCTGGATAATGAGAATCCAGATGGATCTTGATTTCAATCTTCTCGAAACTGGTTGTCTTGCCTTCGCCATACTGGTGACAGCCTTCACTTTGCAGGTTTGTATATATATATATATATATACACATATCTCTCTTAATTTTGTGTTTATTATTACAATCATTCCTAAAATACGTATGGTGATTAATTAACCTAATTAGAAAACGTAATTAATTTCAGGATGGAACTTCACATTACATGAAAGGAGTGATTCTTTTCCTCTGCTACGTTGTTATTGGTGCTTGCTTTTTTGTTCACAAAGTTCCTGCGAGTAAGTTACATGGGTCTTAATCCCCCAATTAACCCAATTAAAATCAAGAAACTTAATCGATAAATATATTCCCTACTGATTTACTTTTTTAATAAACTTGATTAATCAGATCAATTTCCCACCAATTTGGGAGCTAAACCATCGATTTTCGGAGTTTTGTTCATGTAATCGGGGATCGATCTTGACGGCCTGGCCGGAGTCAAGCAGAAAACCTGAAATTTCATTTGCATTCTGAGATCAGACAGAGTGGATGCTGTGGAGAGAATTCAGCATCGATCTTGTCTCTTTTTTTTTTTTTTTTTTTTGGAATTTAATGGAGGAAGAAAAAGAAAATTGAGAGAAGAACCAAAAGAGAAGATTCAACAACTTCTCATTGAAAAATGAATGTATATCTTGCAATAAAAAAAAAATAAGGTATTTTGTGTTTGATAATTTATTAAATTTGGTTAAAATTGAATTTATTATATGTAATGTTCTTCAATGAATAAAAAAAAAAAAATCACTTGATATTCTTGAAATATATATTTTTTATAAAAAAAATCTAAAAATATTTACTTATTTTTATTATTCAAATAATTCGTTATTAAATTTTCTCTCCATTAAAAAAAAATCTTGAATGGGTGTTGCCCCGTCAACTTGTCAACTTTCATTTATTGGCCAAGTGGGTTAGTGCCCTCCTTAATTATAAGAGGCAAAAATCTTGCTATTATTTATTATTAAAAATTATTAATTTAATGTTTAATCTATTCTATTATTGTTTATTGTTTTTTTTATTTAGAAATTGTGGTAGCTAGAAATTTTGCCTACTTTTTTTTGTTAATTCATAGTTATAGGCTATATTTTCTATGGGTATTATTATTCCAACAATTTTGCATAAAAAATTATTAACAGTTAAATATTTAATTTTAATCATTCATCTAAAATATAATGGAACCAATTATATGCTTGTGTCACAAAGACTCTCACTAGCTACCTTAATAAAATATTAACAATTCACTGACTGTAACTGTTAGGTTTTTAGCAGTAAAATATAGGAGCTAAAAGGCAGAGTCTTGGGATTTTAGCTGCCTAACCCGCTCACTTATATTCTTAATGGTATATAAATTAAAAATATTTAAAGAAAATATAAAAGTTTTAATTATTTGATAACCGTATCGTTAGTAATTATAAAAAAATTAAATTAATTTATATATTTGTTAGCATGGTTAGTATTTTTATTTGTTTATACGATGATGTGAGCTCAAATTTCACGTGTTTTCATAAAAAAATGTGAGTTATTATATATATATATATATATTATTTAATTAATAAAATATATAAATTTTTATTAAAAAAATTATTGAGAGATATATAAAAACTTAATTTAAAAATCTATTATATTAAATCATTCATTTTTTAAAAAATATTTTTTTGTACGTTGCAGTTTAAAATCAATTAAATTAAAATAAAAAAAATTACAAACTAAAAAATGAGTGAATTATCATAAAATAAATTATAAAATTTAAATCGAGTTAAAATTTTAATTTAATTATGCATATTTTTTAATTTATAAAATACATGTAGACACGTAACGTGATACTTTCTTCTCTTTTATTTCTTCAAACTTTTTGATCATTAATATTAGTACGATCTTTTATAATTTTTTAATATGGGATCATAAATGTTTTATTTTTAAAAATTAAAAAAAATAAATTGAATATAAAAAAAAATAACCCATCTCCGATAAAAAAAAATAAAAGTAGATGTCATTGATGACTAAATCCAGAATGTTCATCATGTGAAATTATATTTAATATTAATAATAATAATTAATATAAGTGATTATGAAGAAATATATCATCACAATCAAAATCCCCCTCCAATTCTTCGGGAGCACAAAAAGGAGTGATTCAAGAAAGAATCTTCATGCATGTGATGAGTTGAAAGGGCACTACATATGTCTATATATACATACATATATATATATATATATACATATATGCAATTTTTTTAATTAGTTCAACTATTAAACTGTGTTTACAGAAAAAAAAATTTAAAAAATAATTTCAGTATGTAAAAATTAATGTAAAAATATTCTTATAAGTTTCAATGTTCATCACTACAACTAGTGTTACAATTTTAATCATCATTATAATTTTATTGAAATACAAAAAAAAAATTAACATTCTATACTATACAAATAATTTTTATAGTATATTTAATAATTATAAATTTAAATATTATTAAAAACATAAAACTCGTTACTTCACAAATATATTATAAATTGTAACATTTCGAATTCGAGATTTAGATTCGAAATAATGTAATTTAATTTTTAAAATAATAATAAAAATAATAGAGTTTATTTTTAATTATTTTTTTAAAAAATGCATTTTAAACATTTTTAAAATAATTTTCAGAATTTATGGCCAAACTGTAAATAATGGGACGGTATTTTTGAAAGAAATCTGGAAAAACATGACCACTTCGCAAATTAAAAGAAATGAGCCATGTAGGATGATCACATT